AAAGAAAAAATGTTGATTACAAATCATGAAAATATTTTTTACAGTCTTGCATTAAATGTCAGAATATTATTATATAAGATAATTAAAAAAAAATAGTTGCATTGCATGCAGAAAGATGCAAAGGGAATTGCATCTAAATAACTTCATCTGATTGATTTGATTATACACATATTATACACAAAACAACAAACATTTTGCATATTATATTTCTTTACAAGATAGTTTTAAACAATAACATGAAACGTACAAAAATCCATGGTAGTATTTTTTTTGCAGGGAAAAAAAGCATACTTGCATTGCTGTGAAACTCTAATAGCTAAGCTTTGAATCCTTTATTGCATGCTGAAATAAAGCAATGTGAATACATAGCGATATGATTTAGCCAATATAAGCTCATTTTATGCATAATATCGTATAGAAAACAACCATGTGATTTGAACAAACACTACGGTTGAAAATCAGTTTGTGGCGTGACACAGCAGTGTGCTTGCCTCGCTTCCAGGCAGTGGAAATGCCCGGTGCCCAGAGCAGTGTGTGAGCGTGTTTGCTCTCTCCGTGTCTTGGCTGTGAAATACACTGATAAAATGTGCTTTTCTGGCTTACATCTCACGGGAGCGTGTTCACTCACCTGCTTGAGAGAAACCCGGGCGAAAAACATCGACCTTCATAAGGCATCAGCATCACCGACAGCAGCGTGGTGAGCAAGCCGTTTGACTTCTTGTTTGAGTGTATGTGTGTGCCGGGTGTTCGTGGGAATATTCAATTCATTCTTAAGGAAATATTAACTGCATATAATGTTAGGTCTACTTCTTGTCCTGAGATAGCTTCATCTGGGGTGCGTTTCCCCAAAAAACGACTTGCTAGGGGGGGCTGGGTGGTCTGACGAAATCGTCACCGTTGGTATAAAATGTCGGTCGTTAGAGATTTTTCTTTATCTGCGATTACAAATTAAGTTCTCTTTCACGTCTTATTGCGCTTGAATAGTCGAATACATATACAATTATGTCAAAATGGACATCATGTGGAGTATTTATGTAAACAGCCGGTGATGTCTCAAGTGGAAGTAAACAGTAAACAGGAAAACTCCGGCGCAAAATGAACACTGGTACCTAGTCGACCGTTCTCTTAGATTTGTTTTCATGATAATGGATGGAAAGGAAAGAGTTTTATCTCTAAAAACTGTTTAGCGTATAACACTAGTATATAGGGCATAGAGTAATGACGAATAAAAATCACTAGTTAATACCACTAACAAGGCTCAAAATAGACCCACACTTACACAGTAACATAATAAGAGTCCCTACTTGCAAACCGAAGCATTGAGAACATTGTTAGTGTACAGACAGTTGAGTTTAATAAGAAGATATTTTATACAGGCTGGAGCCATCTTTGGAAAACAGTCTCGACCAGTCAAACCACGAAGTCGTGGTTCGACTTGTCGAGACTGTTTTCCAAAGATGGCTCCTGCCTGTATACACGTAGTGGACTGTCTTTATAAAGTATCTTCTTATTAAACTGTCTGTTCACCTTTATGTAGTCCATCAAATCAACACAAATGAAGATCTTTTTCATGAAATCTTTCTGTCCCTCCTTAGCTACATAACTACCACTTTGACGCTTCAAAAAGTTAACGAATAGATCGTAAAACTAATCCACATGAATTGAGCGGTTTTGTCCAAATTTACTGAAAAACTAACTAAAGACTACATTTAAACTGTTCATCATATAAAGCGATCGAGTCTCTTCAAAAAAATTTTGACTAAACTGCTTGAAATTATTGATTTTTGTCCTTCGCTGCATATCCCACAATCCTGTGTGTCTCATTCCGTGACAGAAAAATGGTGCTTGAAAGTTGCAATGGATGGTCAAGTGTGTAAATGTACATTTTTTGACCAACCTTTTCCAATTTTGATGCCATTTCTAAGGGGGAAATTAGTATTTTGGTAATTAAATATTCACAAAGCTAACACTAAAGCTCTGTCTATTTTGTTGTAGATCATTAAACCATTATGCCGGCTCAGAAGTCTGTCTGAAATCTGTTTTGTGAAGTCTTTTCGAGCGCAAACACTGCCTGCAAAGTCATTGCCTGACAGGCCTAAGCTTTCAAACACAGCAGTGTGTTTTTATGTGCAGTTGCATTACTCAAATACAGTTACACTGCTATTGCTGGTGGGTTTTTTTCAGTAATTTAGTCTGGATCTTAAAAATGTAAGCACTTTGAGCTGCTGTTGCACCAGGGTCTAGCAGAAATGAATAGCCTTTGTGGCGGCCCGAAGGTCTGGCCATTATGATGGTGATAAGTATACTTGTTGAGTTCCCAGTCCTCTGTGACCAACGGAGTCGGCAATACAGCAAAAACCCAGCTGTAGTTACAATTGTGGTGTTTTATCAAAGGAAAGGTTAAAGATGTCAGCCTGAGAAAAGCTCAGAAGGTTAGCCGGACAAGATAGTTCACTAATGGACACGGCGAGATGTTTCTATTGCCCACATTTACAGTTATTACATGTCTCAGCTGCTGTAATGACACACGCACATATGAAGCAAAATTAAATGAGTCAGCCATGCATAATACAGTTTTAATGGTTTTATTTTAGACATTTCAGAAAGGAAATCATGGGGTAGGGAAATTAAATGTGTGAAGTAGTGCTCAGCGTTGAAAGCACACAGAATGGCCATGGATGAATAAGCCTCAGGATGGGAGATCACATTGCATTGTGCTATTCTCTAATAAACCTCCACGATCTCCAATTCTGAGTTGAGGCAAAAGAGGCAATTTACAAAAACATACGTCTTGTTACTGTTTTGGAGCCGATCCACGGCTACTTAACCGGACTGCTTTCAGATAGTTAAATGCTTGGGCTGTTCCTGCAGATAATGCTCTTGAACTAGCACACTGTTTAGGAGCTGAATAGTTTGGAAGCAATCATGCACTAACATTATGAATCTAAAGGGTAAGTCGTGTATTTGGAAGCCCACCGTTTTAATTTGACTGTATTGACTATGTGCTTTGTGTCTTCAAAATCTCTCTCAGGGAACAAGTAAGAAATAGATGAGGCTCACAATGGAAGTGATGTAAATTGTTTTAGATTGCTTCGCTCTCAATGTTGGCCACTAAATGCAATTACCAGGATTCAATATTTCTTCTCAAAGTCCTTAGGAAAAGGAAGCAGCAATGCATTTTTTACTATGTGTTTTATTTTCACATGTAGAGGCCAAAATATCTCATAGAACAGTTGTTTGAAACTTCTAAAAACATTGCAAATGTTCACACTCTAAAAAATGCTGGGTTGTTTTAACCCAATTTTGGGTAAAATATGGACAAACCCAGCCATTGGGTTACATTTTTAAATTACATTTTTATAATATTTATAATATATAAAAATGTAATATTTTTATATTATAATATAATATTTTATATACCCAAAATATACCCAAAACTGGGTTAAAACAAACCAGCATTTTTTTAGAGTGCAGTGTTAAAGCCATTGCGCGCTCAGTCTGAAATTCACGTCCGAAATTTTCGCCCGTTAAAAAATAAATAGGGCCTCACGTTATGTCAGTCAAGCTTGCACAGTGCCTCCGAAACTTTCGTTCGTCATAAAAAAAATCAAATCGGGTTCGATTTCCTGCGTTTTTCGATGGTGTTTTGAGAATTCGGAGCCACCGAATCATGAATACGAAAAAACGCATATGAAAATTTTGGACTTACAGTTTTTTAATATCTTCTCCATTTAAAAGAAGTAGTCATTTATTCCCTCTCATGTCTTTTGAAGCTCTATAGTAGCCAATTATCCTCCCGTAACACAAAATTTATTCATAACGGAATTTCTAAGTTACTTATAATCAGCAAAACATTCTGTTATCGTCTCATCTCAATTAAATGTTTCAAGTAAGAACTACTGCTTGGGTGAACTACTGCTTTTAAAGAGAAATTTTGGATTTCTCTGATGTACTATGTACATTTTAAGATGTTTAAAGGTCAAACAATTGGACAACCAGTTTTAAAAGCATGTCAGTGGGCAGTAGATTATTTGTCAGTTCCTGCTCTCTCCTCATCTCCATCACTCTTTCTCCTTATCTTGCCCCGTCTCTTCTCCTCTTAAAGCTGAGCTTTAACTGATGCTCTTTTCATTTTCGTCTGTGTCCGTGAAGAAAGTAGGGATTGAGGGATTTTACTTAAGGCTTTACCTCAAAATTCATTTACAACATGTTCACATTCATTATTAATTGTATGCCTACTATGATGAAAACGGCTTGGTTAATGTTTCTTTCCCTCTAACATTAAGAGTTACTATGCATTACATGAACCACGTAAATTAGGCCTATTTTCAATTCAGAATGGCGAAATTAGACAAAGGTTTATCAGTTTGCCTGATTATTTTTGTCGGTCGTTTAACATTTCTATCCTAAAACAGCTGTCAAAAATGAAATGTTTAATTTAGCTACAGTACTTACATGTTATCTCGCACTTTATTTCCGTTAACAACTAAAACGTCGCGCTGGAATTCGTGCTCAGCAGTTTCTGTGAACATAAGCCCGCCTACTTCGATTTGATTGGTCATCTCCCATATTTTGACATTGACGAGCAGTGACAGACCAATGAGCCAGCTCAGATGAGACGATCTTGGTGCAACACTAAAGTAGAGTTATTACTATATTAGGCAATTATTTTACAACCTTTATTATATACACCACGACCACGGAAAAATACACTGTGCACTTGGAACTGAAACTTAGTTTTTTTTTTGGTTTTGGACTTAAAAGCACAACGCTTAAAAAAATATGACTCTTTAACAAATTTATTTTAGAATCAAAGTTATTTTACAAAAGCTTTTACCGTGCAAACTGTCTTAACAGTGAATGCACAGCAGGCTGCCGTCATACTAATTCAGGCTCTGATGCTAAAAAGAGCCAAAATACATGTAAGAAAAAAATCTAGATAGACTAATCGACCTCAATAATCGACTGGCCATCCTAACAAGGTACTTGTTGTACTCCAGCATCTGCAGGACTCTGGCTGGGCCTGAGGGCCAAAACCCTGTACTGGAATAAAGGAAGGAAGAAAAGAAAAACATCAGTCCTGAACAAGCCTCCCCTGCCTCCTTCCCCATGGCTTGACCTCCATGCTTGCTGTGCTGCAGATCTTTCCCTGGAGGTAAGCCTAAAATACCCAGGCCTCTCGCTGGAGCTTGACAAATCGACTCATTTGCTGAGTAGGTGATCTTAAAGCAATAGTTCATCGGAAAAAAAAAACGACATTCTGTCATCGTTTACTCACCCCTCTGTCAGTCCAAACTGGAATGATTGTCTTTCCTCTGTGTGCTGTGAGTTTTGAGTGCCACGCTTGCTACTTTATGGTGCTGTTTTTGTCCTTATTGAAGCATCTATAACAGTTTGTTATAACAGTTGATTGGTAATTTTCATTGTTCCTTTAAGAACATTTTAGGCAAGTTTATTTATATGGCACATTTCATACACAATGGTAATTCAAAGTGCTGCACATAAAAAGGAAACTCAAAAAAATGACTCTTTGAATGAACATTAAAAAATCATGATTAAATAGCTTTATTTCAGCATTATGCAATTCTGTTATTCCAATTTAATGCACTTGCGTTGGGTCAACTTAATTTATTAAGGTTGATTGTATGGTTGGGCACAGCTTAATTTAATAGTGTCAGCCCAACTAGTTTGCAATGTTTTAGGCCAACTGATATGATTCAGGTATTCTAATTCATATATCCATTAGAGCCCGACCGATAAAGGATTTTGAAGGCCGATACCGATACAAATATTTTTGGGTTTTAAAATCCGATATTCCGATATATCGGCCGGTATTTTTTTTTTTAATAAATATTGTTGGATTTCACACAGGTGTAAAAGAAAAGCTAACTTTTCTGCACAAGATACGTTTGATACTTTTTCTATATGTCTAAATGTTCACTCCTCGCAACGCAAGTATAACTTACATTTTACAATGCAGGGACTGTAACTAGAGATATGCTAGCTATAAATACAGTAATCATTACTTTATTTAGGCAGAAAAATTCATTGTTGTTTCCAAGCTCATTAATGTTAACGTTAGCGGTCTTCCACTGATGATATTGGCATTAGCTTGCTTTGTGGTTAGCTAGTCTATGATGAGCCATAATTTAGCAATAGATAACATCATACTGCAAGTTGTAAAACATACATTTTCAATATAACAGGCCAAGGAGAGATGATTGAAGCGTGTTTCGTCCGTTTTTATTCTATTTTTTAAAAATTCAATTATCGGCCATTATGACTGCCGATACCGATATTATGGAAAATGCAAAATATCGGCCGGCCGATATATCGGTCTGGCTCTAACATCCATAATAGCCAACTATTTACTCACAATAGCACTTTTTAGCATCTTAAATGATAAAACACATATGCTTTATCAACCAAGGCATTAGTTGACAGTATTGCTGAATCAGTCTTCAATTTAACCAAATGCTCCACTTTTCTTCACAATGGTAACCCACTGTAATTTAAATGGTTCTAATAATTTCAATTTAATTGAACATTAAACACAACTACGATCTATCAGTTCTTCCCCTTTTCTAATTTTCTCAAAAACACATAAAATAACACTTTTGATTTATGTTTCAACATATGCATAATGCAAAGCATGTTGGGTACTAACAAGCACCGCCCAGTTTCAGTTAATGCAACCCAAATCATTCATGTTGTCCAGCACAAACGGATTAAGTAAACTTAGATTTTTACATATATTTAAGCAGATTGAACACAATTAAATTAAGTTTGGACAAAATATATAGCAATTGTGTTGCTTAAGCTCATTTTAATTAGCCAATTTGAACAAGCAGCAAAAATATTTTTTTGGAATGCAAACAAAATAAAAATAACAATATAAGCAGAGAATACCCCTATCTGGATGGACGAGTCAGAGAGTTTCACAGCTTCTTGCTTTTCTTTGAGATTTTAGCTAAATTAACTTTACTGTCATGTTATTTGGCAACATATAAGGCTGTGTTTCATCACAGTGCAGAAAGCTTCTGTCTGCCATGATTTTTTAGAGACATCTCCCAGAAGGAATTGTTCTGAGACGCCCAACTGATGAGGTGCCTGCATTAAAATAATGTTGCGGATGAAAAAAAAAACCCTGCCATACCGCACCGGCCTGTTAACATGCAAATCACATCTCATTTTCACAGAAAGGCAAAGCGAGTGAGTCAGTGTCAAACTGTGTACAAATCTGAATGCCAAGCATTATACTAAGAGAGAGCAGGGCAAAGAAACAACACATAGTAAACGACGGTGTCATGTTGAAGAACACTCAACAACATTTCTATTTTGGGTCGTAAGCCACTGCAAATGCAATTTAATGAGCTGTGAATGTATAGGAATGACCTTCTATTGATTTTTAGCTGTGTTATTTTTAAATGAAGCAGCACTGTAACAGTGTTTTATGAATAAAAAGTGATAATGTTTGAAGGCGTATCTCATGATGTCGGTTTATAGAAAAGCCGTTATTTGTACAAGAACTTTTGTTTTGTGGGATTATTTTATCACAATTAAGCATAAGCTCCCATTCTTATTTTAATTGACAGAGTAATACGAATCTAATGAGAATCATCGTAAAAAAAAAAAAAAGATTTACAAAACAAAACGTTAAAAAGACTGTATGCATCGCAGGAATGAGAATTTAGGGAGGGATATCACAAAATATCACAAAATAAAATATCGTCATTTTTGAGGGGGCGAAATGTGACTTGAACGTGTTTTGTGGCATTTTTATGGCTTCAGTAGAGTGCTAAAACTTTATAAAACGAACTTTATCAGTGTTATATTGCGTCTTTTATCATTGTTTGTGACATGTAATGTTGGTTTAGTAGTCTCTATGGCCTTAGGCCACTACTATGAAAGCAGGTTCAAGCTTCATCGAATCAATAAAAACATAATGGAATATTTTTCAAATGCTCTACATTATAAACCATTGGGCATCCTTCTGCATTTATATCTCTGCCACATCTTTGATAGATGACAATGGGAGCGATTTCATTAGCCACACGTTAAACTGATGGTCCTTTCTCTGTCCGTGTGAAGGAAGCTGCAAATGCCACGCACGTGGAACGACCTCATAGAGATGTTTATTAGGGAACGCTCGTTCTTGCCACACCAATGAATTATTCATAAAGGCGCTCTCTGAAGGCCTTGTGTTTTCTGCCTGGACTTTCTTAGCTGGAATCGATCCGTGGTGGAAATTCTGAGTGATCCGCGACATCTCCTTCAGCTTGGAGGTTTTAAATGGGGATGTAACTCATTTTGACAGATGGCACTCAGAGGTACTCACCATCTCTGCTTTGGAGACACATATCCCCTCCGTTATGAGCCTCAGATTGCTATTTCCTCTTAAGTGCACTCCATGTGAGGACAAGGTTCGTCACTGAAATGACTTTTTGTCCATTTTTGATATATAATGTGGAATTGAGAGATAAGGGCTCGCCAATAGATCTTTCTTATGAAGGTGTCTTATGGCACAGGCCACTTAAGGAGGGATGTCCCAGTGTTTTAGCGTTAAAGCCCACTCAGAGAAAGAACACACTGATTAAAGTGCTGGAAAAATAGCCGGCTTGTCCTTGCGTTTGGAAAGTGGTGAAAAACAGCCAGAGAGAGCCGTAATCCCTCCATATTTACCCGCTGAGTGGTCTCAGACAGTGCAAATTATGCGATTGTTGTGATTAAGTGTGCTCCGCTGGTTGTGATTTTAATTTGAGCCACGAGTGATTCCTCTGTGAAATAATCTTCAGGATGTTCCAGTGCACAAGCAGCATTTTAATGGCGCGAATAGTGTGATTCTTTTTGCTATATGAATTATTAAGACGTTTATAAAGGAGCACAGTATGAAATGCCTCCAGTGATTTATTTTTCCTGTTCAAATAAGTATCACTGTGTACCGGAAAATGTGTTGGGTCACAAAACTTCACAATCTCACAAATAATACATCTGAAAAGGAAATCTAGGATATTTTTGTAGTGCTGTCAAACCGATTGATTGCGATTAATCGCATCTAGAGGTTTCTTTTAGGGCTGTGGAATGATTAATCACGATTAATCGCATCCAAAATAAAAGTTTGTGTTTACATAATATATGTGTGTATAATTATTTTGTATATATTAATACACATATATGCATGTATATATTTAAGAAAAAATTGTATTAATATATGAAATATTTATATTTATGTATAATATGAATTTTGTATAAATGTATATACATGCAAATATTTCTTAAATAAATACATGCATGCATGTGTGTGTATTTATATATATACAAAATAATTATGCACACTACCCACACATGCATTATATAAACTCAAACTTTTATTTTGTATGCGATTAATCGCGATTAATCGTTTCACAACCCTAGTATCTTTCAGGACCACTATCGGCAAATACGACTGACAATGGGCTCTATGCATGGCGGTATTTCCGGTGAAAGTTTAAGGATGCTCGATAACTTCCGCCGATCGTAGAGTAGAGTCCAATGCAAAACCGAGAATTTATATCGAATTTTATTCTCCATGGTTATACTAAAGAAACGTTAGTCACAAAAACAGATAAAACAGACACCCCTCATTGTGTTAATGCTTCTTTTTAAAATTATATTAAATAAACATAACTACATATAAAATTGCATCTAAACGCATGTACGTTTCGTTTCAAAGATGGGAGGACAGTAAATTTTGAAGACTCTGCCATAATCCCGTTTTCCTCGGTTTTCCTCCCTCCACAACCGGAAATGGACGAGCATCCTTGCGTCAAATGCGGAATTTATGCGTGCGCCCATTAGCGTACAGTTAGGATTGGCAAGAACTCTACTCTTGTGTAATGGAAATCACTCCGCATTAGACATTCTTATAAGGACTCCAATGTATTTACTGCTGCTCTATTTCTTGAATCCTCAACAAATCTTGAGACTGACAGAAATCCACATAGGGTTTGAATGTGATAAAGTTCTCAATGCAGCCTATCATGCACAAAATAATCTGTTTCTCTTTGCATAAACGCTCATTATTAAACAATTTTCTGATTTCATGTTCATTGCTACTTACTCCAAAAAGTAAAAACTGTACTTGAAAAGAAAACAGGAGGATAAATGTGTCATGTGTGACAGTAGAAGAATGGGTTTGGGCTTGTACGGCCCCTCATATTTTTATGATAAAATTGTATCATGATTATCATATTTACATTTAGTCATTTTTAGCAGACGCCAATGCTATTGTTATTCTGATCATAATTCAATCGTTATGCTGAACTTTAGAGATGCAATTCACTGTGGTTCGACTTGCATCTTACATCTTCATAAACAAAGATATCATTGTAATTTGTTGGTTTAATAACATTACCACCAGCCCTGACCACCATAGAGTTTGTTTGCATGCTGTATTCTTATTGCACAATGAAGCATTCGAGCAGACCATGTACAGCAAACCAGAAATTGCAGTACATGTTCATAGACCATCCCAAACAGGCTGATATATTGTTTGACAATAACTCTCACTGAATTATTTAGTAGGCCTCCGAGCAACTTGAAATGCCACATTTGCATTTGTATTCAGACATTATTGCTTTCCGGTTGGTTCTGAAATCCACATGTTAGCAGAGGAGTGACAAAATAAAAATGTAGCACTTTTAGGGTTTTTTTTTTATTCACAATATCAAAAAGCATTGCAAACGGTCTCACTCTCCTTAACTTTGCGTGTCCAGATGCCATAATTTGTCAAAACAAGTTTTGATTACATTTGTATGCTTTCATGCAAGACTGAGTTCCTTCGCACTGCATGAAGCAACCAGTGATTCATTTTTAAATGCAACTTCATTTATCTGTAATGAATTTTTCTTTACTTGCTTTGCCCCACGTGCCACTTTCATTGCAAACAACATTCATCATTGAAGGTCAATAACATTTAGCTTTTGCTAATGCAACTTGTTTTAATGACATCTTCTTCATGTTTGCTCTCGCAGGGCTGTTTCTCTGACCTTAGCACATGGATTTCAAGACTTCAAATGAAGAGGTAGGTATTGCTTTATATGCCACTTTTTTCAAAAAACATTCTGTTATTTCAGATGAAGTAGATTACATGCTCATACATCTTGTGACAGATCCATTTAAGCGTTATTTGTTGAACGAAACTCTATCCAAATAAATGTTTGGTGAAGTCGTTGAGGCAGGCAGGAGCACCACGATCAAATAAATGGATTTGTTGACTTTCCACTGGGGAATAAAGATGTTAGATGTGCTTTAATTCCCCTGTCTGCAGACTTTAGTTTATTTAAGTTATTTAGCAGACTACAGATTTACAGTCTTATTCTCTGAAATTTGACATTTTCAACATTGTAAGGAGGATTATGAGCTGGGCAACACTTTATTTCAATGGTCCACTTTAGTCATTCTAAATATAAGTAACTTTGCAACTACATGTAAACTTACCCTACTAACCCGAACCCTAAACTAACACTCTTTTGCAGTCTACTATACTCTAATGAGAGTTAGTGGACATGTAGTTGCAAAGTTAGTTATAGTATGTTTAAATTGGACCATTGAAATAAAGTGTAACCATGAGCAGTTACAGAAAGCGAAAAGCCCCACAAAAATAATCTTGCTATATATATATATATGATAACATGATTTGAACTCTTTGAGATTATAATAAGTTCCATTTGCCATCATTATACTAAATCCTTTGATATATTTTTTCAGATATTTTGAGATATTTCCTCACTTCTGTCCTGAAATGATGAAACATGTAATAATGGTGTTCAATTATTTGTTTATTATTATAAATATCATTTATTAATAGTTTATCAAGCGAAAGGAATTCAATTATGTCCTATTTGTTTTATTAAGCACTGTGCTGTAAATAAGCAATATACAAATTTTGGTTACACTTTATTTGGTAACTTTGGTTACTATAAATTATGCATAATTACATGCAACTAACCCCACAACAAAACTAATCCTAACCATAACCCTATTGTAAGTACACTTAGTTATTTAATATTACCCAGTTCTTAAATGTATAATTACACTGTAACAAGGACACCTTAAAATTACAATTAGGGTTACACTTTATTTTAAGGTGTCCTTAATTGCTGAGTAATAATAATAATTAACTACATATACTTACTAGGTTTAGGATTAAGTTTGGTTTAGGGTAAGTTGCATGTAATTACAGTAACAAGAACACTGTAAAATAAAATGTTACCCATATTTCTACTTTGTAAAACTAACTGATTTCGAGGGAGGTCCTCTCAAAACTGCAAACTCGTACTCTTGTTTCTAGGAATGCAACCAGCAATCTTGCGTCTCAGTTATGGATTATAGTGAATATGACCTCAGATAACTTGTTGCTAGGCAGATTATTTCATACCTTTGTAATGGCTTTAATATTATTTACAGGCAAGATTATAAAACAATGTCAAGTCAAATTAAATCAATATTTCATTTCCATGTATTTATTTAGCGGTCTTAATCACCCTGTTGGAATTTAATTTGTGATAATGACCGACTGACTGTACTTTATATCCTATATATCAATGTCTATCAGCTAATGAGAAATATTGATCGTCCACTAATCTGGATGTTCTTCTCAGTATGTTAAAATTCATGACGTTCGATGTGTCCTGCATTATAGTGGTGCAGTTTGGGGTGGGATACAGGACTACCATGAATGCACATAGCACAAATTGAATAGCTTTCGGGCTCAGAAATGGGGACACGGCAGAGCGCTTATGTGTGGAAGATTAATGAGCGCTCAGAGGAAGATAAGTCTTGTGTATATAGACTGAGGTGTTTCTATCTATTTACAAACACTGCTGCGCTTTTTTAAATGTGATGTACAATACAAGATTCAAAACTTTGTGGACAGAAAAAAAAGCTGAAATTTTTATTGCTGCTTTATTAATCAATAAATTCTAACACCTGTCTATTAAACATTTGCCAAAATCACAGCATAACATTCAGATTTGCTTTTGCGCTGCCACTGATCTATGTATTGACATGAAACAGCTTTTCAACCACAGTATTGCTATTTCTGTGTTACAATCATATTATCGCAGAAGTACTGGGTTAAATGTTTATAGTTCGGATATAAACACTGATGTCTATGGTAGCGATCAAAATGCATTAAATCAGCTTTATAAAATAACATTGATGCTTCAAATAAAGATTGTATCAATCTCGTCGTTACACCAGTAGGTGGCGACAAGTGACTTTTAAAACATTTATTTGTCATTGAAACATTCGTTCAAGAGATTCATTCAGAAACGCTGATTCATCCAGTAATGAAGAAATGAAGTATTTATAAGTGAATCATTAATTCAAGAGATTCATTCAGAAACGCTGATTCATCCTGTAATGAAATAATTGCCCAGATCATGGCATCCTAAGCACTCACAGTCTTTCTCTGAGTCCGCATTTCGTGACGTAACGCCGCTTTGACTATCGCGAATAGTCTCACATCAGTGCGGGCTCGGCACAAATTGGCCGCTCAGCATCGTGAGCATCCTTCTGAAACCTAAAATAGTTCACTTTGAAATTAATTTTTGGTATGTTTTAGTTTACCTCAAGGGCATCCAAGATGTAGGTGTCTTTGTTTCCGCAGTAGTTTCAATTTTGATATTTTTAGGTCAAACCGTTCTTGTCTGTCAGTCATATAATGGAGGTCTATGGTCACCACCTCAAAGAACATTCACAGAGAAGTCCAAATTAAACATGATTTAATGACTCATAAATGTAAGTACACATTGATGGCCTAAGACACGAAACCAAGGCGCCCACGCCCTCAGATCACTTGGATGTTGCTGTGGTTACAAGAGGTAAAAACGATATAAATACTGTTCGTTTTCTCACACAAACCGCTCGTTTCGTGTCTTAGGCCATCAATGTGTACTTACATTTACGAGTCATTAAATCATGTTTAATTTGGACTTCTCTCTGCATGCTCTTTGAGGTGGTGACCATAGACCTCCATTATATGACTGACAGACACGAATGGTTTGACCTAAAAATATCAAAATTGAAACTACTGCCGAAACAAAGACACCTACATCTTGGATGCCCTTGAGGTAAGCTAAAACTTACCAAAAATTAATTTCAAAGTGAACTATCCCTTTAACGGACACGCGCACCCGGCAGCCATTGTACGTCCACAAGACCAAAAGTGCATATGAATTGTGCCATTTAGGACAGAGTCAATACAACAAGTGAATTCATTAAGAGTAAGTTGGTTTTTTTTTGTTTTTGTTTTTTATAATACATTTAGATTAATTAAACATTTCTAAAAGACTGCAGCCAAAAAAACAAACAAAAAACATTTAGTCAGAACCTCTAATAAATTGCATGTTATTTTGTTTAGTTTTTCTGTTCAGAATTGTGGTAGAATCATGAAGCTCTAGTGATGATCTACATTTATTGTAGAGCGTGTGGGTGTTTTAACTCTGCTAAAGCATCAATATGAGAATCATGGAAGTGTTTCTTGTTAACTGTGTGAATGAATGCATCTCTGTTGCAATATTACTAGACTAACTTTGTACCTCTGGAATGGCCAGAGTCAATGTCTGAGCATGTTTTGACTGCAAATCTCAAGGGTACACTAAAAATGGCTGACACTAGATCGCCATGGCAACAGAACCAAGCATGTGTCCTAGCAACTGAAGTTATAGAATAAATTTCGTCCTGGCATAAAGTGTTTGACCTGACTTTGCAAGAAATTGCAATGATGTGGATGCCAGACTCAACAGAAAATTCAGGTCTCTTTCATTTTTTTATGAGTAACTGCTTACCAATCAATTTGGTCATCATAGGAACGAGTCTTACAACACAACTGGGCCCTGAGGAAGGTTTTTTTTTAATTTTTTTACAGTGCTGACAAGTGGAAAAGCCAAAATATACAGACTTACAACATTTGTAAGCAGCCTCGTATTTCATTTTGGAATTATTAAATATGCATTGATAAAAATTACTCACTTATTCACTTGCTGTGGTTTCATTCTGAATTTATGTTGATTAGATATATGTACATGCCTCTAACAGACCGACTAGCATAGTAAAGCTACGTTCACGATCACGAAACGCGGTCACCAGCACCACATACTGTATGAATGTAGCCCGAAACGGATTGCTTTTCACAGTCTTGCTAAATCTGATTGGATTTCATTGGATATGCACAAAAATCAGATTTGGACTGACAATCTGAATGAGGCTTAAATAAATAATGATGTGATTTGAATTATTCAGTTTATCAGGTATGAAATGATACACGTTACACGTAAAGCAAGGCTTGGTTTAGCAGTGAAACTTTTATTGGCCACCATGAAGTAGATGTGCAAAAGGCACTTAAGATAATGATGTTACACTAATAATTGAGTTTGTGGGTGTCCCTGAAGCTATGGGTGCTCGGGTTATGTCTCGGGTTGAAGACTAACAGGTTTTTAATATGAAACAAAACAGAAAGCAGAATATTTGTATGCGTCATTTTTAATAAAGCTGTAATTTTGTCAGAATTATGCAGAAAGTGTGAAAAGATATTTTAATTGTGTGTATTTATAGGATACACACTATGAAACAAGACAACTTTCGACGATTTAATTGTCAAAAATGTCATTTTCACTATTCCCCTGTTCATGTATATATGCAGTGTTGACATTTTAGTGGACAACTTAACAAGTGACAGTGTGAAAACTAAGAGATAATTTCTAACAATATTTTACTTTAAGCTTTTATGTGTAATGCACATTATAATGCATTACACACATATATGATATATGTGTATATATGATATTGTTTGTCATGTGTTTTAATGCATTATACTTTATAAATGTGTACAATTAATAGATAAGTACCTATGTATTATAACTGTAGTTACAACTATTCATGAGATCATACAATGCATTACAAGGTGCATTACAAGGCATTATGAATAAATTATAAATACTTTTATAATGAATTATATAAAAAGGCTAATTTTAACAGTAATTATTTAACAGCTATTTTTGCTAGTATCCGATTTTGCAGTGTTTCTGAATATCAAATTTGTCGATACAATGTAAAGTATTTGCTTTGGTTCTTGTTTTAAATGTTTTTCCTTGTTCAAGCAGAATGTGGTGGTTGGTCAGTGCGGGATTTGTCCCGCCCCTCCTCCACTGTGATTGGACGGCGGGGTAAAGGGGAATACTTAAGGGAAGCACCCATAATTGAAGTGCTATTTAAAAACTGTTAAAGTGCTCCCATTTAAGCTTGCTCTATCTGTTTCACTTTAAATGATTACTGTAGGGCAAGAACGTTTCATTGCTCAAAATTGCGTCTTTCAAGGCAGTTTGGTGTTAAAGGGCTTACATTGCCTTATACTGTAGCTGCATGACTCTTATGTAATTTTCTCAAGCATTTATCTACAGAAGTAAAGGCCGTGTGTTATGCTGAATAAATGTGGACCCGATAGGCTGCATTTAAGCCTCTGACAGGCAGTCTGTCAAGTTACAATATATTCAAGAGCATCTGGTCTTCATTATCCATTTGTTGGAGACATTTTGTCACATATTCAAAAAGCTTCATCAGTCATTATGACATTGTGTGGTGTGAAGATGTTTAATCCTCCATCAGATAACCGATGAAGCCGCTTGGACGAGAGGCAAAACATCTTCAAGAAATGAATAACCAAGTCCAGATGGTCTAGCAATGATTTTCCTCCCTGATATTCAGTTTTCAGTTGTATCTCTGCAAACAACTGCCCTCGCTATTTATCATGCGATCAATTTCATGGCTAATTAACTTCATGTTTTCAAGTGAGGATTACAGATGTTTGTGTGACTTTGGCTGTTTCAGACAAAGACTGGGATTTATTTGCTTCAAGATGGTAGCGAGGAGCCTTTCAATATCCGTCTGCACCTGGCCAAAGACATTCTCACCATTCAAGAGCAAGACGTCATCTGTGTGTCTGGAGAACCGTTCTACTCAAGTGTGAGTTCAACTATCCACACTAAACCAGATTGATCCAGTCCTGGAAAATATAAGATATGATCAAAGCTGTGACGTGAAACAGCTGTTCAACACATTCGGTTGTCGTTCGCATGTCAGGGACTGTATCTTCTACACTGCAAGAAAGCGTTTAGTTAGATATCCTCAAATTGTTCTGAATGTGATAACACGACCATAAATGTTTTTATTCGAGTCAAAAATATTCAATTGGAATTTAAATTGGCTACGTACGCAATTTTTTAGATTATGACATAAAAATTCCACATAGATTCATTAACATTTTATTTATTACTGCAAGCAAATTCATTACTAAAAATGTATATTATTGCATATTATTAAAAATAAAATATAAATAATATAGATAGATAGATAGATAGATAGATAGATAGATAGACCATAGATAGATAGATAGATAGATAGATAGATAGATAGATAGATAGATACATAGATACATAGATACATAGATAGATACATAGATACATAGATAGATACATAGAGACATACACAGATACATAGAGACATACATACATACATAGAAACATACATAGAGGCATTGATGCATAGATATACAATATGTTTATGTGTACTTATGTATAGATATATACGTTTATGTAGAATTTAGATAGATAGATAGATAAATAGATAGATAGATATCACAATATCGTGCAGCATGAATAGAAAAACTTTGAGACAGTCATTCTTCAGCTCCTCAGTTAACCTTTTGCCTTTGGTTTTAACTTTATTGTCTGTAGTAGAATGAAATTTTGTCGGGCATTTGCAGCAGAATCTTTTGACCATTGTGTGCTGCGTCTCTCACTGTCACGGCAGTAGACAGCAGGTTTTACACGGTTTAAACTGATAGATCATGTTGTATTCACTGCCCTTTAATTAAGTTACTGGCATTGTTGGCATGGTGCCGTTTTTCCCCTTGGGAAATCAACATGAAAAGGAGGCAATTAAAAATAATTAAGTACCTTCTCAGTTTCATGGACCAAATTGAAGTGAAAGGTAAACCACCTTTCTTCCCCAACATACACAACACGGAGTGGCATGAAAGTGACGTGTTTTCTTTGATTCTTTACAGGAGAGAACAGTGACGATCCGTCGGCAGACGATCGGAGGGTTTGGTTTGAGCATCAAGGTGATTGTGCAGATCCTCACAGCTTTCACTCGCAGTTTTTTGCAAGACTTTGACAGTCTTTGTGTCATGATTTTTTCATAGGGTGGTGCTGAACACAAGATCCCTGTTGTGATCTCTAAAATATCAAAAGAACAGAAGGGTAAGCTGTTTATTTGCTCTTCTCCTTTAGTACTCAAAAATAACAAGTTGTTTATTGGTTTATGCTTTTGTTTTGCAGCGGAACTTTCTGGACTTTTGTTTATCGGGGACGGAATTCTCCAGGTACGCACAAATACACTAATGTGTTCATAAGATTAAGATGCTTTCTATGTTAAGGACCCTTTAAAACTCCCACAATGTTTTAATGTAATTCACTGAATTTCAGCCAGCGGATGTTTAGGGAGCATCTTTCTTTTTTGATGGAAATTGGAGTTGTCGTTTCATAGCAATGTTATTTCAATTATATATTCGTTTTGAATTATGTATGTATTTTTCTGAACATGAAGGCCCTGTTTTAGACGTGGGAATTCTTCATAATGGCCATAGTATTCTCATAACAATTTCATTTTACATAGACTACCCTTAAAATGAATGAACTCCTTGGTCGTGGATGTGGATGTACTCCATTATTAAGCATCACTACTGTTCAAATGTTTGGGATCTTTTGAACTTTCTATTCATCAGAGAATCCTGAAAAACAATGTATCACGGTTTCCACAACAAATATGAAGCAGCACAACTGTTTTCATCATCGATAATAATAATAAATGCTTCTTGAGCACCAAATCAACATATTAGAAAGATTTCTGAAGGATCATGTGACCCTGAAGACTGGAGAATTCAGCTTTGATCACTCATTTTTAAATATATTACAATATTACATTTTTATTTCCTGTATTTTTGATCAAATATATGCAGCCTTGAAAATCTTACTGACCAAAACTTTTAAATGGTAATCTGAATCTATTGATAACTCGCTCTTCATCACTCTTTTACTTGTATTGTTATTAGATAAACGGCATTAATGTGAGGAGTTATCGCCATGAAGAAGTGGTATGTTTCATCTTTTTTGCATAATAATGTATTTCAGATAGCACAGAAAGGATACTTCTAGCACTATGTTCAATCTTTTAACAAAACTGTGTGTGTATTTTCGACTCACCCTTTAAAAGCTTGACTAATTAATTCTCATCCATTGTAATGAAAGAATAAGCGAGTGTGTTTCCCATCCTCAGGTGCAGGTTCTGCGAAACGCAGGTGAGGAAGTGACTCTGACTGTGTCTTTCCTGAAGAGGACGCCTGCGTTTCTGAAACTGCCGCTGTGTGAAGACTGCTCATGTACGTCTGTGTTTGGACACGCAGCATTCACCGGTTAATACAGAACTTACACGTGGCAAAGTCTTCAAAGTGAAATTTACAATGAAATAACGTCGTTTTATAACCTGTTTATTCTCTTTTTTCAGGTATACCAAGTGATCAGAGCAGTGGAACCTCGTCTCCGTTGTGTGACAGTGGCCTGCATCTGAACTACCATCCCAACAACACGGTGAACACCTAAAAACACTACACACTCATCTGACGACTGTCTGAGATTGGCTCAAGTTTGATTGTATGCATTTGTGACACTTTAGGCACTTTAAACCCTTATAGTTTAATGTTTAAAAGCAAAGAAATTAAGATAGGCATACATATTTGTCATTGTACTAAATTGTTATAATTTTTATTTTACTGGACTATAGTATTACAATAGTAATACATTTCTATTTAGTACATTTTTCTATGTACTCTATCTATCTATCTATCTATCCGTCCGTCCGTTTGAGAAATCTGTTGTAAACGAGAGAGAAGCTTTAAGGTTTTCTTAGTTTTATCCAATATAGTTGCACTTATTTAAAAAGCAAAAAAATTAAGACATAAATATTAGTAGTCATTTTACCAAATTATTGTTTTTATTATTGTCACTTTTATTATTAAATATAATTTTTTTATTTTGCATATAATAATAGTATTATTGCAATAGTAATACATTTATATTTTTTATTTAAAAATATATATAATTTAAATAATAATAAACTATTTTTTTAATTAATACTAAATATTAATTGTATTATTGCATAGTCAAATTTAATCCGTCCATCCGTCTGTCTGAGTTTTGGTCAAGATTGTGAATTTGTGAATCGTTTTATAAATCGTTTGTCAACAAAAGAGAAGCTTTAACGTTTGGAAGCAAAGAAATGAAGACTGCCATAAATATGAATATATATTTAGTTTTATTATTTATTAAAAAATAATATTTGTTTATTTTTTATTAATATATTTACATTTAAGTAAATTATTATTAATATTATGGTTATTTATCTGAGCATCTGATCTACCCGTGGCAGGACACGTTGTCGTGCTCGTCTTGGCCGATGTCTCCGGGGTTGCGCTGGGAGAAGAGATGGGTGGATCTTCGACTCATCCCTCTATTGCACGCGCGTCTGTCCCAGTACGTCCCAGGTACTGACATTTGCAGGTGAGCTGAGCAAGAACCACACAAGAAATCTGTGTATTGTTTGCTTATACTTTGTCTCTGGCTTTTGTAGAGTTTCAGTGCCTGATGTGATGTGTTTTCTTTAATCTAGTGATTCAGTTTGGATTCTAGTCTCACAGGATTTCCCCTAAATTAGTTTTTTTTAAGGGTTATATTAATTCACAGCCATTCCCAAATGAACCGCATTAGACCTTTAATATCAAATGCAAACTTTGATGAGGTTAAGCTATTTGAAATGAGACCTTTTTGCACATCAAGTGGGACGTAATTGAAAACTCTCAAATTAGATTGAATTAAATTGCTTTGAATTAAACAAATTGAAAAAGGAGAATTAGATATTAGTTTGCTATTTTTGCATGTTGTGGAATGTCTCTTGAGTGTGCGTATTTTTTTATTTCTTCAGGCAAAATGCGTTTCAAGTGGTTGCTGTGGATGGGGTGTGCAGCGGGGTCATTCAGTGCCCCAGTACTGACGAATGCACCGACTGGCTGCAAGCACTCGCTACTAACACTTCTGCCCTCACCAAGCACAACGTGAGTACACCGCAGATGGCTTAGGCAAATGCAAGCTTCCTTTGTGTCTCATAATGTGAGTGACCAAAGAATAGTGTATATCCTAAAGACTGAAATCACAGTAAAACTTTGTAATCACAGTAAAAAAAAATGTCATCCTAGAATTCAATAAAAAGTTTCAGGATTTTGAATTCAAAACAAGAAAAGTTGATAATGTTTAATCTTAACTTTCAAAAGTTTGGGTCTCACTCATCAAGAATAACAGTCGTATTGTGAAATATTATTGCAATTCATAAGAACTGTAATTTATTCCTGAATTTTCAGCATCATTACTCCAGTCTTCAGTGTCGCATGATCCTCCTTGTCAAATGACGTCACACAGTTCGTTCTTCTATTTCGCTTGAAGTACATCAGGGCTTTTATTATGCTTTAGTGTCTCTGGAGAGCAAGCAGTAGAGTGTACCGAACCTAAATCAACTGAACACACAACGATAAACTACATTAATGCTCAGTGATGGAGGTGACTCATAAATTTTAATTTTCTCCAGGCAGGTCATGTGTTGTAATCCCCTCATTGCAGTAGAATTAAGGCCTTAAAATGGCATTTCCCGCACAATGAAGGATTTCACTCTTAATTACTAGGGAACGCAGAGTGTGCCTCGTGGCACAGATCACTCACTTTTGAGCATCCCCGTGCAAAAATCAATCTTGTGTTCATTATTTTGAGTGTGTTTTGCATTTGCCAAAAAAAATCCTCTCAAAGAAGATAAGTTTGCTCCTCACGACAATGTGTTTTAGCGTTAACTTTGGATTATCCTGTAGAGGGACCATCTGGATGAGCTTTCAGTCCATTTCCTGCGAGGAAGATAAAGCCTCATTCCACATTCAAATGGAACTATTAGAGTCATTTGTGAGGCAGCGGTGACTGGCCGGGGTTACGTGGGTAATGAAGCTAGTAAGAATGTTAATGTTGAATAAAGCTTCACGGCGGCAGCTACTCTCTCCTGGGCTCTGGACACACTTGTACCTTGGTTGGTCTGAAACTCACAAGATTTACGGTGTTCTTTTATCTGCTACTTGAATAATTGAGCTGAGACACGGTAAAGGTCATTCGGTGATCACCACAGCGCTTTTTTTTATATCTGTGAAGCAGATTGCCGTATTTCGCTGGCCTTTTGTTATGATTTATGATTGAGATGTCTAGAAAATCTCCTTGCAGTCAGGAAGCAGAGGTTGTTGCTGGGGAGTGACGTATGATCTTCGATTTAAAAGGATTCATAAAACGTTGATATTAAAGGGGTCATGCAGTTTAGTTTTGTGGATTATTTTCATCCCTAAAGTGCGTTTATACTTAGTGTTTCTTGTTTTAGGTAGATTTATGGTACAGTAAATTACTTGCGATGTTCCTTATCTGTAAGTCACTTTGGATAAAAATGAAATGAATTGAAAAATGTAAATCTAAAAAAAACTACATTTGTTTGGCATTGGTGGAACAAAGAAAGTAGTGCTGCCATGAACTCACAGCTTTTCCTCAGATTTCATGGCCAAAAATGTACAGGCCTTTATATTATATATTATTCTAAGTATGAAAATATATTTAAAGGTATATAGATATAATAATAAAAATGATAATAATATACAGAACATTTGAAATATATTTACTTATTTTCAATTTCAATATAAATATAAAATAATAATTTCAATAGATATTTAAAAAGATATACATTAAATCTGTTAAATATATATTATAAATATATAAAAATATATTTAAAGGTATATATATATATATATATATATATTAGTATATCTTTTTTTATAATATGTTAATATAAATATATTTTTTACAATCTAATCTGTTAATCCTTGTAGTACATACATCATCTTTATATATTTAATATATTTAAAAGTATATATATATATATATATATATATATATATATATATATATATATATACACACACTTTTAAATATATATATATATATATATATTTAGGGCTGTGCAATGATTAATTTTATCCAAAATAAAAGTTTGTGTTTACATAATATATGTGTGTGTAGTGTGTATAATTATTTTTTATATATAAATACACACATGCATGTATATATTTAAATATTTGCATGTATATACTGTATATATATATTTATACATCATTTATATTAAAAATATATATATATATCAATATTTTATATATTAATAACACATTTTTCTTAAATATATACATGCATGTGTCTTAATTTTTATATACGAAATAATCATGATTAACCGTTATATATATATATATATATATATATATAATTTTTATATTTCAGTATATCTTTTAATATATTTTAACAATATAATCTGTTAATTCTTATAGTGCACGCATAATCTTTAAATACATATTTTTTTTTATTATAAATATAACTATTTTACAGGTCTACACATTTTATATAATATCTAAACTTATTTATTTCAGTATGTATTTTTACTTAAACAAACACATTTCCAAAAAGTCTGTTCAATCTTTCTAATTGTATTGCAGGTGAAGAAGATCAACAGAAACTTCCCGGTGAACCAGCAGGTGAGAGAACTGAATCTGAATGCGTGAGAAGGTGCGAATTGGACCTTGAAAGAGTGACAGAAAGCCTGCAGAGATCCCGATAAAGCCCTGAAAGAGCGAGTGGCTCAAGCGCACTTTAATGAAGCCCCACGATGATGTTTTCTGACAAGAAGCAGTGTTGTTCTTGCGCTGTGACGCACGTCCCCTGCAGAAAGCCAAGAGTCGAGTTCACAGGGCCCATCGCCTGATGCCGTGCTCCTCAAACCGACGTGGCATCACACAGACTGACAGAGACTTGCTCACAGTGTTTGATTTTAGAGCATGACCTCTCATGCAGGAGTGTCGTGACATTTTAAATGATCTCGGCGCTTTGAATTGGGCTTCATTGTCTGACAAATGTTCGATTTGATGAATGTGGAGTTTCTTCCTGAATATTCTGTGCAGACTAATTACTTGGAACGTCTTAGTTCTTCCGTCTCCTATTTGACACGTTCTTTTTGTGTTTTTCTGTCTTTTAGATCGTATATATGGGCTGGGTAGATGAGAAAGAACAAGATTCTGTTCAGGACCGAATGTACACACCAAAGTTTCTTGCCTTGAGGGGTTCGTCTCTCTTCAAATTCTCCGCACCTCCAGTGAGTTCTTCTGCATGCTTTACTGCATCAAGAGCCTTTCAGTTTCAGTCGCTGACTTTTATATGATTTTTATATTTAGCGTAGCTCGCAATATTTGTTCTACTTGGGGCAACATTGGCTGAAAGAAACGGTGAGGATTATGAAAGCACTTCAGACTCTTGTTGAAACTTTTTCTGAGTTGTTCAGTTGTTAGCAGTTCATTACACTGAAGAATTGTTAAAGGAATACTTGACCCAAAAAATGCATATTCGGTTATTATTTCTTCCCTCCTTTCATTACTAATACTACAATTGAAATGCTATATATATATATATATATTAGTGCTGTCAAATCGATTGCAGTTAATCGCATCACACATTATATTAATTGCATCCAAAATAAAAGTTTGTGTGTATAATATATGTGTGTTCTGTGTATAATTATTTTGTATATAAAAATTCACACACATGCATATATATATTTAAGAAAAATTAGTTATTAATATATAAAATATATATATATATTTAATATAAATTATGTATAAATATATACAGTACATGCAAATATTTCTTAAATATATACATGCATGTGTGTGTATATTTATATATATATATACAAAATAATTATACACACTACACACACATATATTTTGTAAACACAACACTTTTATTTTTGAATACGTTAATCGTGATTAATCGTTGCCCAGCCCTATCGATTAATCGATTTGACAGCACTAATATATATATATATATATAAACTAATACAAATGAGAGAAGCACATAACAAAATTACTGAAACTGAAATTACCGGTAATATGAAAACTGAAAAATGTAAACTATTTTAAAAGATGAATGAATGCAGTAATATTATATAAATATAACATGGGATGAAATTAGGATGAGTACATAATGACAGATGAACAATTCTTTAAAGAATTGCCCATTTTCACTCCACATTATTTGCTTCAGTTATTATCGACTTGATGAAATCCATTATTCCATGCAGCCGCAGTCTAAATCACCTAACCTGATGCTCTAACACCTCCATTCAATAAAGCCAAATCTCTGTACACAATCAGCAATTAACTTAAACGCCTTCATCATAATTCTGGGAAATAATTTGGGCTAAAACATGCATGATAATCTGAGAAGTGTCTCATTAATGGAGATAACACTTATGACTCCCCCTGAATTTCACATCAGATGGTTCAGTCCTGAATGAAATGAGGAATCGCTGTAGTTGCTGCTTGTACATGTTGCCACTTAATTAATTTATCCTGACGAGATCGAGACATCAAAGAGCTTCATCCAATCTGCCATTAATCGTAATTTGAAGGTGGAGTGGGAGGAAGATCAGAAGTTTGGATGTGGAAACTATTATGGGGTACGCAGATGGAGAGGACTTGCAGCGCTCAGCAGTTTGTACAAAGGCTCTCTCGGGTTATTTCAGCTTGTTCAGATGTTCTCCGCTCAGGGCAATAAACACTTGACATGATGCTTTTGAGGAAGCATTGGGTAGAAAGTTCGATTTCAAAGCATTTTTGGCATGAAAAGAGTTCAGGTGCACAAATCTAATTTTGGTTAAGATAGTTTCGAATGTTCGTTGACCTTCGACATGAAATACACATTTCTGAGTAACACAGGACATTCAAGCGGAAGAAATGACTTCATATTAGCAACTGGGAATTTAGTGGATTGTCAAAAGTGTCTCTATATGTCACTAGGTTGTAATTGAAAGGCATTTCATAATTTATTTTATTGGCAGTTACATTGTCAAATAAACAAGATCAAAAACATGTGAAAAGAAACAAAAAAGGGTTTATTATTACATTTATTTATTAAAAATAATTATATTTATCCAAATTATTATTTTTTTAAAATATTAAATATTTTTAAAAAACAAGCATTTATTATGCATAACTTCATCACCAGAAATATATTAAGTATAAAGGTTAGTAGTATTGTTATTGTTATCGTTAATTTTTTGTAAATTGCTTTTATATGTATTTATTAATTTATTACATTTATTTATTTTGTTCAATAATAGAGTTTTCGGACCTAAACATGCACAAAAACTCACAAAAATTTGCACACGTGTCAGAACTGGTGAAAATTTACATCTGATGAGTGGTGTAAAATGTCTCAATAGCGCCACCTATTAAGGTTCAACGGAGTGCACCTCTTGTTACATTTCACATACGTGTACGAAATTCGGTGCATACTTGTAATGGCCCAATACCTACAAAAAAGTCTCTTGGAGCGTATCCCTAAACACAACAGGAAGTCAGCCATTTTGAACTTCCTCTTAGATTTTTGTGTAGTTTTTGGCATTTTCAAGCCTCTTACTCTAATGAACTCCTCCTACAGTTTTAATTAGATAATATTGTTTTCTTGGACAAACAATAAATTACATGCCCTGATGAATCATACACGTGTGTGTGGGTGGGTGTGGCGTGGTAAACCATACATTATGGGGACAAAATGAATCCACAAAGATGGCAGTATTCGAAATCCTTGTCCTTATGGGGACATTTGTTGGTTTTCATGAGGAAAACAGCTTATAAATCATAATAAGTGATGTTTTTTGGAAATGTAAAAATGCTGAAAGCTGTCTGGGACGGGTAGGGTTAGTGTAAGGGATAGAAAATACACTTTGTACAGTCTAAAAATCTTTATGTCTACGGAAAGTCCCCATAAAACATGAGAACACAACGTGTGTGTGTGTGTGTGTTTGTCTGTTTTTGACTGGTGTTCTGACATTTGAAAACTCTGCTCTGAGCCCCTTGAGTCTGAAGAAAACACTCGTGAATTCTCTGTTCCATCATGATCATCTTCACTGGCCTTCGGGTATTAGAGGTTACTGCAGATGCTCAGCGTGAGTCATTCTCCTTCACGAGATCTCATGGGGGTTTCACTCTTTCGTCGGCGAGCAGGACTTTGTTTATTTCATGTAGCATTTGAATCATCCCTTTGGGGACACAGTGAGTTCTCTGACTGAGCCGAATAATGAACTGTGTGTGACTTCTGGAGACTGACAGCAATCTAAACCCCTCCAGGTCACCACCTGGGACTGGACCAGAGCCGAGAAGAGCTTCTCCGTCTACGAGATCATGTTCAAGATACTGAAGGTACAAGCTGAAGTTTCTCACTCTAGAACTGACACTGGCCTTACAAATGAATACTGTGATGATATCAGATATTTAATAGGTGATAAATCCGTGTCCCATCCTCCTGTAGGTTCTTGTTCTGTGGTTATTTATTGAGTTATAACAAAGTCCCTTTGGTAACGCTTCCTTTTACAGTCCAGTTACCCATGTAAATACTATGTGCTTATTTTAGTAACTACAATTAATGGGTAATAACTAGTACTAACCCTTAACCTACCCCTGTTCCATGTACTTACCTTATATTAGCCAGTACTTTCTAGGTAAGTACACTGTAAGTACCCTTTAAGGCAAGTCATCTCACTTGGCGGCCATCTTTGAAACGCCTCGGGCAGCTATTTTAGTCATGCAAGTACCTCCTATTTTTTGAATGGGGAAACGTCAAATTCTCCAAAGCTGTTCACCAAGCTTACGATAAAAAAATTACCAGTGAAGTTTAACGATTTCCAAATTTTTGTTTCTAAACAATCAAATCATGACAAAAAAAAAAGCATTTTTCAGGCTGGACCAGCCAATGCTAATGTGTGGTCATACATGTGGTCTATATATTAGTGGGGTAATGTAGGGAATAGTGAATAGGGGCAATATATAGGGGGCAATTTTGGACACAGCCCGTGACAACCAAGGAAACAAGACTGAAATGAAAATCAAAATAAGAGTCCCTGAACAGAGTAAACCGAACTAGCCGTGACAGCACAACTTGGCTTTTGTTCTTTATTTCTATTAGTTATTTTTATTTCACAAATGAGAAAAAGGGTAGCACCACCAGTGACAATAGTAACCTTGGATGTACATTTCCTCAACTTTTTATATTTTCAAAATACAAGTTTTGACACCAGTGACAAGAAATCAAGGGACAATATATATATTTAAATTAATTATAATACAAATTCCTTATTTTGTTTAGATTTTTGCATGCTAGTGAAAGTTCAAACATAAGCAGAATAGCTTAAATAGCATAATGTTATTCTTATTATTTGCATTTAACATCACATATGAATATGCTTTTATTTTGGAACAAATAGAAAACTCAACAAAACAAAAACTACATTTACAGCATTGCACATTTGTTAGATCTCACACTTTTTTAAATGAATATATATATATATATATATATATATATATATATACACTATTTGAAATCTCTTTCATGTCTAAAATACATTAAAAAAACGAAATGTATAATGTTATCTATGCTTCACCATTCTAAACAAATTGCTTATTTTAGGACATTGAGCTGGTGGACAAACGAAAGCACTGCTTCAGTGTTCAGACGGACTCTGGAGAGGACATCTTCTTCAGCGTGGAGCTGGAATGTGAGCTGCTTCTGTGGGAGAAAGCCTTTCAGATGGCCACGTTCTTCGAAGTGGAACGAATACAGGTACTGAACCTTCCTTAAGGTAGCGCGATCTAAACTTAATTGTGTCTAAATGGCAATTTCAGTGGTGAAGTTGTGCCTCTATCTTCTTGGCACGGGAAACAGACAGAGCTGAGATCAGATCGAGGCGAATTAAACTGCACCTGCCAGACAATGTTGGCCGCCATCTGAACAACGCAATCTCTGAGTGATTGAGGCCTTGCCAAAGAGAGAATAAGTGTGATTTGCTAATCAGTACTAGGAAACACATTGTTCAAAAACGCACCATAAAAACATCTTTTGTTAGGAGACATTAATATAATATAATCCTGGGTTTAACTTTGGTTGTTTTGCCCCGGTCCATGATCCAAACTTTCATACGGAAATATGAAAATCCACCATAAAAAATTTGAATAACATTTTTGAAAACGATACAATGTGTAAAACATTTAAAATATTTAAACTTTTCAGTTTTAATGCGTGAAATATATATATTGTAAATAAAAAGTTTGAGATGAATTTAAAGGCATAATCTATGAAGAAAAAAATAAGACTTATGAACCTAGTTTCAAAAGACTTTTGCCATAGTTTCCAATTAACCTGTAATTGTGTCAAAATTATGCAGTGTTAAAAGTGTGAAACAGTAGATTTTTTTTTATAATTGCTAATTATATTTAGGTTTAATTTAGTTCTAGTTTTGATTTATTTCTAGTCAACTTAAACTTGTTTTAATTTATTGTCAAGGCAACATTTCAGATTTTCGTTTAGTTTAAGTTTTTCAATTAATGTTTATATTTTATTATATTTAAGCTTTATTTCAGTAAACATAAATGTTTTACTTATAGTAAGAACCATGGTGTGAAAGTATTATTTAATTATGTGGACATAAAATGTTATCTGTAAAATTAACCTTGCTTGCAATTTCTTTCCAAAAAATATCCCAGAATACTTGATTTCTTACAATAAATAATTAGTGGAAATTCTATTTAGCTTCTGTAATTCATGTATATACACTGTTGGACATTGTAAGTAGACAAATTAAACAAGTGTGAATAGTCTTTTAATAAGTCCACTGGATCAAATGTGTCCATAGTTGAAGAAACACACACTGATCCATGTAGGATCCAATTACTATGTATATTTCAAATTCGTTACATAATATGCAAGTATGGCATTTACAGTCCTGTAGCACTGAAGCAAATCTATATTCCATATTCTAGCAACAATAGCAGGACCATTTCACATTCATGGAAAACAAGGTGGCACAAATAAAATCGTTGCCAATTTGTCCCAGTAAACCAAACTAACGCAGACACCGTGCCTCGTGCCAAAAAAACAACACCGCTTGTTTATTTTTCTCCCAAAATAATTATGTACGACACTTATCATCCTAATTAGACATTTACGAGATTGAGATGTTTGTGTTTGCCAGTCTGCCTCGTGTCTGATTAACAATGCCAAGTATCTCCTGTTTCAGTGTAAAACATACGCTTGCATTGTGGACAGTCATCTCATGGGACTCACCATAGATTTCAGCATGGGCTTCGTGTGCTTCGATGCCGCGTCAAAGGTGAGACAGGAACCTTAAGTGTGCATTTCTTTAGTAAAATACATGCTCACCGGTGTCTTATTTTAACATCAAGTTCACTTTACATCAATATTTATTGTACAGTTTCGTGTGGAAGCCATTGTGTTATTTGAAAAAGATTTTTACTGTTTAAAAGTTTTCACTTTATAATAATAAGAAATGAACAGTTCAGATGCAAAAGCCTCTAAATGCCATTTGAAATTTTCTTCTTTAATGATGATTTTTGTCAAACTTGTATATTTACTTAACTTAAATGGCAATGATAATTACCTATTAATTGTTATTTAAGTGAAATTACTGGAGTTAAATATACAAGTTTGACAAAAATCATCATTAAAGAAGAAAATTTCAAATGGCATTTAGAGGCTTTTGCATCTGAACTCTTCAAATGTTTCTTGAGCAGAAAATCTGCATATTAGAGTGATTTCTGAAGGGTCATGTGACCCTGAAGACTGGAGTAATGATGCTGAAAATTCAGCTTTGATCACAGGAATAAATTACATTTTACAGTATATTCATATAGAAAACAGATATTTTAAATTGTAATAATATTTCACAATATTACTGTTTTTACTGTAATTTAATCACATGAATGCAGCGCCGTGAGCATAAAAACATTTAGAAAATCGTACCAACCCGACACATTTAAACGGTTGCTATTTAGTTTGTTAAATAAGGTCATGCATATAAAGTCACATCTTTATGATTGGAAGTCCTTATTTTTCAACTTAAAAAAAACATGCAAAATTCACTTTATAAGTAGGATTTATGTGATGGAACAAAACATCCAAGTCTCTTCAAGTCATGTTCACAACAGACTTTATTTTAATTAAAAAAAAACATGAGGGAAACATGTAAGCTAGATAAAATCCAGTCAAAAAAACAAAACAATAAACAACAACAGCTTAATGAACAGTATGAAAATGTAAAAAAAGTTATTAATATGCATAATTGAAACCCTCATTACAGGCAGTGCTGTGGAGATACAAGTTCTCTCAGCTTAAAGGATCATCAGATGATGGAAAGAGTAAAATCAAATTCCTGTTCCAGAATCAAGACACAAAACTTATTGAAGCAAAGGTAAGTTTACTTTTCGCTTTTGTTTTTGTTTTTGGCTTCATATTCGGTTTATGAAAGCATTAGCATTTTCACATAGCGCATAGGGAGGGATATCATACACTTATGGTAACCTCATTTCTTTGGGAACTTTTCGAAACGTCATAATCTTGCAAGTGCAAAAGAAATAGCTGAAGGAAGCAGATAAAAATAAAGTGCGTTGATATGAATTATTGTTTGATTATTTCCCGCCTGTGGGCTGTAAGTATAAGCACTTTCATGCACCGAGTTTGATCTGATTCCTGCTTGAGGCTGCCTCCTTTTCTCCAGCAAACCTTCATTATCATTTTTTTCCCCCCTGATGCTTCCAGGAACTGGAGTTCTCCAACCTCTTCGCGGTTCTCCACTGCATCCACGCGTTCTTCGCCGCCAAAGTGGCCTGTTTGGATCCCATGTTCGTGAGCAGCCGAAACGCCACCATGACCGCTGTGGTGTCCACGACCTCCACCTTAACCGCCCCACCACAGATATCCAAGATCAAATACACCAGCTGACAGACTCCAGTGACGGACCCTTTCCTTCCATACAGTGAACAGGTAGGAGGAGAGGAACTAACCCTGACAAACAATTGACACACAGTGGAAGTCCACTTTCAAATGGACAATTCACGTACGTAACATCGAAACCCTCGCTATGTTCTCCGGATGGGAAACTCAGACATTTTAGCATTATGTTTCCTGTTGAAGATGTTCTTGGATCGCTTTCAGCTGCTAGAAAGTTGGACTCCTCCCCTTTGATATCGAGCCATATCTGTTTGCATTCAAATGATATGAACACTTCTTTGTGTGTACTTTTAAAATATTATTAAATCTGGTAAGCGATTGGAAGGATTGATAGGTTTTGTGAAACTGCCATGAAGTTCTTGATTTTTTTCAAAATAGTAATTTAGTTAACCACCCAGACAGCAACATCGTGCAATCCACGTGTGCCAGATGTGGGCCGGATCTGGGCCGACACTGTTGTGTTCTGGGCAGAGTAATAAATAACTTAAATTTATAGTAATAAACACATTTTCTGAATGTTGCTTTGATATCTACAGAATCCCACACATGACATTTCGGACAAAAAAGATATTTATATATCCTGGCAGCGAATTAAGAAATTTATTCGCACAAATTAAGAAATCGTTCCCTCATTTTAGTACACTTTGGCCATGTTTAATTAATTAATTCCCTTGTTTTAATTTACCTAAAATAAGTAAATGAATTATTACAACTTAGTAAAACAAAGGGACGATTTATTGTATCATGCGCACGATTTACTTAAAACGAAGAAGCGAATTCGTAAAACGTGCTGATATAATAGCAAGTCGTGAGAATTCGAGGATTGTTAAAGGATTAGTTCACTTTTAAAAAACTTTTGCTGATAATTTCCTCACCCCCATGTCATCCAAGATGTCCATGTCTTTCTTTCTTCAGTCGAAAAGAAATTAAGGCTTTTGATGAAAACATTCCAGGATTTTTCTCCATATAATGGACTTCACTGGGTACCAAACGGTTCAAGGTTCAAATGACAGTTTCAGTGCAAACTGCAAACTGTTCAAAGGGCTTTAAACGACACCAGACTGTGAATAAGGGTCTTATCAAGTGAAAAGATCAAAAATATATAAAAAATGTTATAAGCGCAAATGCTCGCCTTGCTCTGTTCTGTGTGACTCTCCTGTTCGAACTCGTTCATCAAAATGAACAAATCTTTTTTTGAGTCATTTCGTTCATTTTGTTCGTTGAATGAACCAAATGACTCGAATAAAGATTCGTTCATTTTAATGAACGAGTTCGAACAGGAGAGTCATGAACGCGCATCACAAAACAGAGCAAGGCGAGCATTTGAGCTTATAAAACTTAAACTTTTGTAGTTATTTTTGAAATGAGCGATCGTTTCACTTGATAAGACCCTTATTCATCGTCTGGAATCGTTTAAAGCCCTTTGAAGCTGCACAGAAACTCTAATTTGGACCTTGAACCGTTTGGTACCCATTGAAGTTCATTATATGGAGAAAATCCTGGAATGTTTTCATCAAAAACCTTAATTTCTTTTCGACTGAAGAAAGAATGACATGGACAAGCTTGGATGACATGGGGGTGAGTAAATTATCAGCAAAAGTTTTTTTTGAAGTGAACTACTCCTTTAATTCGTGGCCACAATATACATTTTTTTCCCCTGCATGTCATGTGCGGGCTCTGTAGATATATCCAATATTGGCAAAGCATAACCTGTTATCCAGGTTGAAAATGTTAGTTTTTTTAATCCAAACAAATCAGCATAAATCGAGCATCAATTCTCACAATGTTTAAATTTGTAGAAAAACTCAATGCTATTAAATGGACGCCCGTCTGACTGCCTAGAGAAACAGACTGGAGAATGTGGCATAATGTAATTATTTTCATATTGTACCTATTTTGATACTTTATTAAAGCTTCAATCATGTATCTGAAGATAAGCTGGAATTGACATGACGGGTGCACATTTGAACTTTCTCAAGGGAAGGACATACTTGCTAATAAAGGGAACGCTTGACTTTATTTTTTTTTTATTATTGTTATCCAATATCTAAAAGATATATTAGTGCACAAACTGGTCATTTTTGCAGTCAAAATAAATCTACCTGTTAATCTAATAAAGTCAACATGAAATTAAAACTGACCTGATTTACGTTTTCCTGTGCATGATCCATCAGATTGTTCTTGCTTTTGTCTTTATATGTTGGTTATCTAGTCATCTGTCATCTAGACTGTGTGGGCTGTTAGTTCAAATGTTGTAGATAAATCCTCCATTTTATGTAATGCAGCCTAAAATCTTGCCAATATCAACTCTTTCCCCGCCAGCATGTTTTCAAAATCATTTTTAAGATCATTTTTGATCATTTTCACAAAATGTACCGGTACATGGCGCCCAGAATATAACGCATTTAACAGTGAAAACAATGTCAATGGCGGACAACCATTGTCTAATATATAACGAAGGTTTATGTCAATGGCAGGGAAAGAGTTAAAACACACTAAACACTGGTTAACATTGATGTTTATAAAGGTTATTGCAGAAAACAATTGAATCAATTCTGTAATACGCATTTGCCACTAATCCTGATTCACTTTTATGGTTATGTTTATGGTTTCATGTTGACTTTAATAATAATTTCTCTTTAAGGCTGCTATCATTTAACGCATGCTAGAATCACAAACTGACATGTAGGAATAAGATATGTGTTATCTAGCATTATGGCCAAAGCTTTAAATTCAACTTTAGACATTTACTCATGTTAAAGTACTGTATGTAATTGTACTAAAAAATACAAGACCTCCGTCAACTACCAACTTATTTGGGCTCAAAAACATTAAATAACAGTCCACAATGTGTCTTCCCCCCCAACCTTTGTAATATTCCCGCCAAAAATGTAACCCTTTATTGGCCACCATGCTGCCACCACAAAGTTAATGTAGGACCCCAGAGATGGAATAATAAATGTGGTTTTACCGAGAAGCACTTTTGCGCCATAAAATCAATCTTGTCCTAACCCTGATTTTTGTCCTGATGTTGAGCGTTTAGTCTATGCAAAAGAGAGATTTGTGATTTGCCCCAAGCTAGGATGTCTTTGGATAAAGATGGGACTGGAAAAGCATTTTTTTATTTTTTAGGGAACTATGATTTGTTTTAATAAAGATGTATAGTTAATAAAGATTTTATAATGTGTGACCTTGTCTAATCTCAATTATTTTTGTTTGTGTGTTTACAAATTTCGTCACCAGTAGCGCACTATACGCACGCTGCCCAATTAAAAAAATTGTATACAGTATATACACTCACCTAAAGGATTATTAGGAACACCTGTTCAATTTCTCATTAATGCAATTAACTAATCAACCAATCACATGGCAGTTGCTTCAATGCATTTAGGGGTGTGGTCCTGGTCAAGACAATCTCCTGAACTCCAAACTGAATGTCATGATTTAAGCAATTTTGAGTGTGGCATGGTTGTTGGTGCCAGAGTATTTCACAATCTGTTAAGTTACTGGGATTTTCACACACAAACATTTCTAGGGTTTACGCAGAATGGTGTGAAAAGGGACAAACATCCAGTATGCGGCAGTCCTGTGGGTGAAAATGCCTTGTTGATGCTAGAGGTCAGAGGAGAATGGGCCGACTGATTCAAGCTGATTAGTCCATTTATATGGAGAAAAATCCTGGAATGTTTTCATCAAAAACCTTAATTTATTTTTGACTGAAGAAAGAATGACATGGATACCTTGGATGACATGGGGGTGAGTAAATTATCAGCAAAAGTTTTTTTTGTTTTTTGTTTTTTAAGTGAACTGCTCCTTTAATATAGAATTATTCTATCGTGTATACAGTATTTAATGCAATTACAGAGAAAAAAAAATGGAAATCCCATACTTTACTTTTGCCAGGGAAAAGTAAATTTAACAAACTTAATTAAAAGTAAATTACAGTAATAAATTACTCTCAACTCTGATAAAGTTTAAAATATACAAATGCTTCGCATCGTTTTATTAAACTTAAAGATTTCATTTTCAACAAAAAATGTTCCGATTGTTCCCACACCTTGTCATGAAGTTGTCACTCAGTTGCTAGAAGCGGCTGATTTCAGATCAGCTTCCTCGTTACTCCAGCAACAGTTAGAATCATATGCCAGTCGTGTAATCTGTTCCCAGATCAGCGCGTTACTGCTGACTCCTGCCCTTCCCAGAATGCACCTCGCTGCGCAGTGACGACAATAACAAAACACAGCAGCAGGAGAAACAGCATTAGCGGATCCTTACACAACCCTGCGAGAAAATAATCTCGATGACAAACCTCACATCTTATTACCACCCTTCCTAACCTACATGTCTTGAAAGATGAAACACTAATGACTTTATCCCACCTCCTCCTGGATGAATTTGTGCGTTTTGTGGGAATGAAAAATAAAGGCCCGTGTTTGGAGTGATGAGCTTTAGCCCGTTAGCCCGACAGCTTCAACCTCTAGCTGACAGAAACCTCAACATCTCAGCCAAAAACAACCTATTAGTCTGCTTTAATGCAGAGAATGGACTAAAGACAGCTCAGGTAAGACTTTCTGATACTGATTCATCTCGTTATATGATAGATATTGCAGTTTAAACGGGATAAACGGACAATTTGAGGCTGTTATGGTCACTAAAACGGAATTGTGGCACATAATGTAAATAAAACCAGGTGTAGTTTGACGAATTAGGGTTTAGTCGAGGTTTAGTGGGTTCGATATCATATAATGTGATATTGATGAAGGTTTGGTGTTCTGGTGATGGTTTAAGATATACTTGGACATACTGTCACCCTCCCTAATTAATGGCCAGGGCCTTTCAAACAACAAAACAAAGACTTGTAGCCTCCAGGAGTCAGTCATTTGTTTGTTAAAAGAGTCTTTTTAACGAAACAAACTGCTTTAGGCCATATTTAGAATTTGAGGATAAGGTTTCAACTGCTCGTCGAAGGGGAAAGCTGTCAATCAATATTGACACTTAAGTTGTGACAAACAGACTAATATAAATTGTAGTCCGCAATATATTTGACTAAAACAATATTTTATGCACTTTAAAGCTTGTTTAATGGCATTAGTTATACATGTGGTCCACGCCAACCACGTGCTATTCCTGTTAGACTCGCCTTATTCCCTGTATCCTTAATAAGAGTTATTATTACAATGCACCATGTCGAAGTTTTACACCCGTTCATGGGGAATTAGGGCACAAAGGATCTTTTAGCTTGTGCCTTGTGTTGGTGGTGTTTACCCGCAGGGAACAACATGACTCAGCCTGAATATTTTGGCCACATG